AAAGCATTTTCCCACAGGAAGGATTCTTTATAATTAATTCCAAAATCTTATTTCAAATTTACCTTAGTCTGCTTGTAACTTTCTAAAATCAAAGTTTTAATCACCCTTTTGCTGTTTATTCCAGAAAATAATTTTTTAAGTCCTTAAACTTGTGTTTAAAACTTCTTTTGCTACGGATTGAAGGAAACGCACCCAATGCTGTAAAACCTGTTGATCCAAAGGTTCCTAATAGCTAAAAAGCAGTTAACAAGTGATTTCTGAAAGTGATTAGAAAATGAAGTATGTCAACTCAGTGTCCTTTCAAAGGTGTCAACTGCAGTTTGAACAAGATGGCTATTCCCTCATCTCCCAGACCTTTAATCCCGCTGGAGACTACTGTGTTGTGGTCTCCTTGTGAGGAGCAGGTGTTTGGAGCACTTGTGGGTGATCTCGAGTCCTCTCCTTGTCCAGAGAGGAATTATCAAACAGCCTGTCAACTTGATGGCTCTTCATTTCGCCACAGTCATCAGCTCTGCTTTTTGGAGCCATCTTCAGTCTGCCATTTCTTCCCTGGAAGCCCCGTATCTTCTATGCTTTTTAATTGACTGTACCCCACTCTCCTTATGCTGGTCTATGACTGTAATAAAGTTTTGATTTGACTGAACATTTTTTTTAATGGCATTAGGAGGTTCAGCAGAAGGCAGGTGCAAAGATAATATATACTTCCAGTTCCATAAGTCTGCTTCCCAGAACTGGAACCAAATGAGAAAAAAAGCTTATTTCCGACCTCACTTGCCATATTTCTTCCTCCTCCTCCTCCTCCTCCTCCTCCTCCTCCTCTCTCTCTCTCTCTCTCCCATCCATCCATCCATCCATCCATCCATCCATCCATCCATCCATCCATCCATCCATCCTATTTTGATGCTGCCCAACTAATTGACTGTCAGTGGCTCACAAATAAAAGCAATATAAAAACAATAAAATACACAGAATTAACTGGAACAAGTTTTCTATCTGATTATTGGACCTTCTAAGGTCCAGTCTCTAGGCAAAGATCTTTCCCATCACTTGTTATCTACCTTTTAATAGTGCAAAAAACTGAATCAGCCACTTTCATATGCAATATATATGATCTGCCTTCATGTTATGGTGCTCCTTCAAGAAAATGCCAAGAGCAGGGCCATATCAATTGTGGCTTCATCCTTTTCCTTTTAGATGGCTTTCTAAGTCTCATTTCATCCACTTATGTCTTTAGAACACCTTTCGGGCAATAAGAAATATTGTTCTGATTTCTATGATCATTAGAATTAGGCAACTTCTGTTACTCAATGAAGGTTGTATTTTATTTTAGATTTTTCTTCCCAGTTATTACAGTGTCTTATTTGAAGTGGAGAATCCTTTAAACACTTGGACATGTAGGATATATTTTAAGTAAAT